CCGATGACAGTCGATTGCCAGGACCCTCCCAGTCACGAAAAGACATGCCGCACTCCGATCGGCTGCCGTATAGCAGAGATATAGCGTTCAGAAAAAACCAGTACTCTAATGAAATGCAAAATCTAAATCTTCAAAAGGCTATATCTCGGCTATTTATGGGACGATTGTTAAAGGACCAACTCTCCCAGGATCGTGAGGGTCCAGACTATCGAACAGCATCAAAATCTCGACTATGAAAATGAGGCCGATTTTTGGCAATTTTAATGATGTAACCATCATGATTTTTTGCGAAAATCGTGAAAAAATAAATGTCTCTGTTTCCGATGACAGTCGATTGCCAGGACCCTCCCAGTCACGAAAAGACATGCCGCACTCCGATCGGCTGCCGTATAGCAGAGATATAGCGTTCAGAAAAAACCAGTACTCTAATGAAATGCAAAATCTAAATCTTCAAAAGGCTATATCTCGACTATTTATGGGACGATTGTTAAAGGACCAACTCTCCCAGGATCGTGAGGGTCCAGACTATCGAACAGCATCAAAATCTCGACTATGAAAATGAGGCCGATTTTTGGCAATTTTAATGATGTAACCATCATAATTTTTTGCGAAAATCGTGAAAAAATGGATGTCCCTTTTTCCGATGACAGTCGATTGGCAGGACCCTCCCGATCTCGAAAAGACATGCCGCACTCCGATCGGCTGCCGTATAGCAGAGATATAGCGTTCAGAAAAAACCAGTACTCTAATGAAATGCAAAATCTAAATCTTCAAAAGGCTATATCTCGACTATTTATGGGACGATTGTTGAAGGACCAACTCTCCCAGGATCGTGAGGGTCCAGACTATCGAACAGCATCAAAATCTCGACTATGAAAATGAGGCCGATTTTTGGCAATTTTAATGATGTAACCATCATGATTTTTTGCGAAAATCGTGAAAAAATAAATGTCTCTGTTTCCGATGGCAGTCGATTGCCAGGACCCTCCCAGTCACGAAAAGACATGCCGCACTCCGATCGGCTGCCGTATAGCAGAGATATAGTGAGCAGAAGAACCCAGTACTATGATGAAATGCAAAATATAAATCTTCAAAAGGCTATATCTCGACTATTTATGGGACGATTGTTAAAGGACCAACTCTCCCAGGATCGTGAGAGTCCAGACTGTCGAACAGCATCAAAATCTCGACTATGAAAATGAGGCCGATTTTTGGCAATTTTAATGATGTAACCATCATGATTTTTTGCGAAAATCGTGAAAAAATAAATGTCTCTGTTTCCGATGACAGTCGATTGCCAGGACCCTCCCTGTCACGAAAAGACATGCCGCACTCCGATCGGCTGCCGTATAGCAGAGATATAGTGAGCAGAAGAACCCAGTACTATGATGAAATGCAAAATATAAATCTTCAAAAGGCTATATCTCGACTATTTATGGGACGATTGTTAAAGGACCAACTCTCCCAGGATCGTGAGAGTCCAGACTGTCGAACAGCATCAAAATCTCGACTATGAAAATGAGGCCGATTTTTGGCAATTTTAATGATGTAACCATCATGATTTTTTGCGAAAATCGTGAAAAAATGGATGTCCCTTTTTCCGATGACAGTCGATTGGCAGGACCCTCCCAGTCACGAAAAGACATGCCGCACTCCGATCGGCTGCCGTATAGCAGAGATATAGCGTGAAGAAAAAACCGGTATTCTAATAAAATGCAAAATCTAAATGTTCGAAATTCTATATCTGGGATATTTATGGGCCGATCGGTGAAGGACCAACTCTTCCAAGATAGTGAGGGTCCAGACTGTCGAACGGCATCAAAATCTCGCCTATGAAAATGATACCGATTTTTGGCAATTTTAATGATGTAACCATCATAATTTTTTGCGAAAATCGTGAAAAAATGGATGTCCCTTTTTCCGATGACAGTCGATTGGCAGGACCCTCCCGATCTCGAAAAGACATGCCGCACTCCGATCGGCTGCCGTATGGCAGAGATATAGTGAGCAGAAGAACCCAGTACTATGATGAAATGCAAAATATAAATCTTCAAAAGGCTATATCTCGACTATTTATGGGACGATTGTTAAAGGACCAACTCTCCCAGGATCGTGAGGGTCCAGACTGTCGAACAGCATCAAAATCTCGACTATGAAAATGAGGCCGATTTTTGGCAATTTTAATGATGTAACCATCATAATTTTTTGCGAAAATCGTGAAAAAATGGATGTCCCTTTTTCCGATGGCAGTCGATTGCCAGGACCCTCCCGATCGCAAGAATACATACATACATACGTCACATTCTATACTCATTTATGTTACAACATTTCATACTCACTTACGTTGCCACTATTTTTGTTGACCTTTTTGTTTAAACCTTAAACAATAAAGAGATAAAATAAACTAGTTAGAAAATAGGTTTATTGTTTGTTTAAAATTATGTGGGCATGGCTAAATGTGCTATCTAGCTAGTAATATTCGAGGGAACATCCAAATTGAGAAATATGGTTTCCAATCCTTGACGGGTAACGATTATAAGCCAAGGGGCTATTTCAATTTTTCACCAAAAATAATGAATGAAATTTAATCATTTTAGCGCAGTTCAGGTGAAAGTTAGCTTTTTTATTTTTAAGTTCAGATGAAAGATGGCATGAATCTACAAGAAGAGTTTTCAGCCATTTAGCTGAAGTAGTTGAACTATGTAAAGGGGCTTTTCGGTATTGTTTGAGGTCAAAATTGAACCGACGGTATATTTACGGTATATCGGTATATAATGGTATGTTTTGTCGATTTCAGCAATCTATTAAATGTAATTTTCAACGTTATATAGAAATCCAATAAAAGCAAGTGTTTAAACTAAGCCAGTTAAGTAAAAAATTGATTCATCAATCTTATAAAAATATGTGGGCATGGCTAAATGGTCTATATAGTCTATTATATTCGATGGAAGATCAAAATTGAGGAATTCGTCGGAATTATATAATTATTATTTTTGATTTTTATTGTATAATTCGTATTAAATTTATTATTCTTGATTTTTATTGAATTATTATTATTTTTGATTTTTATTGAATAATTATTATTCTTGATTTTTATTAAATACTTATTATTATTGATTTTTATTGATTAATTATTATTCTAATTATTATTCTTGATTTATAATGAATAATTATTAATTTTGATTTATATTGAATAATTATTATTCTTGATTTTTATTAAATAATTATAAATTTTGATTTTTATTGCATAATTCTTATCATAATTATTATTCTTGATTTTTAATGAATAATTATTATTTTTGTTTTTTATTGAATAATGATTATTTCTGATTTTTATTGTTTGTGATTTTTGTTATGTTTGTCATCCCAGGCTCCAATTAATGCAAAAACAATTTTGTCTCTGCTTTAAACCTATTTCAACGATATTTTGCAGCTCATCGTCTTTCCATAGAGACCAAGAATAGGTATAAGGATATACAAGGATATATAAATACAAGATAATAATAGGGTATAAAAAGGCATATAAACGCATCATGTCTTCAAATACCAGCAACAACATTGCGACTGTTTTTTTTTTTTTTTTTAACTATTTGGTTTAAGCTTTGTTTTAGCCAAAATACAATAAAAGCAAGGACTAAAAACTAGCCAATCTTGAAGAAAATTTATTCATCAACGGACTAAAATTATGTGGGCAGAACTAAAAGTTTTCGTTAGACAGAATTATTCAACGGAATCTCTAAATTGAGCAATATGAACAACTATCCTCTTTCGTTTTTTTGTTTTGACCTATTTCGCCAAAAACATTTTTGTTTGACCATTTCGCTAAAACCTTTTTTACGCAAAATGCAGTTAAAGAAAGTATTTAAAATAAACCGGTCAAGTGGCAAATTGATTGATTAATCGGATAAAATTATGTGGGCATGGCTAAATGTTCCATCAAGCTAATAATATTCCACAGAATATCAAAATAGGAAAATGTAAAATAGAATTTGAATTCGTCAGTATGTTTACGGTATATTTTTTAAATGACACGGTATATTTCGGTATATTTCTGAGGGTCGTATGCCATTGATAAGTCCGCGGTCACACTGTTCTGTATACACACACATAGCGCACGGCTGGAGTTTTTTCTTCCGCTAATTTCGTCGAAAAAACTAAATAATCTGAGCGAAAACTGTAAGGACGATATAAAATCTTATTTATTTTCTGGTAGGCTTAAATAAAACTACTGAAGTGTCTGCGGAGAAAGTCGCCAAGTCATAACTATTTGGGGCGTGGACGTGTTGTTCATACGAAACTTTTATAAAACTGATATCTGATATACGCATGGCAATTTGCTAATTGTTGCAGAAAAACAGAATAACGGAGTGGCTAATATTGTAATCATTTTGCTATAAAAACGCATATATGTTGGATTTCATTTGGTTGCGTTTTAATTGCGCAGTGTGAAAAGAAAATCGTGAAAATCAATATGGCGTCATTGAACGTCTTTGTGTCGTGGCAAGGTGCTGCCAACTTGTCTATGAGAAAGTAGTCTGGTGAGAGATAGTAGATTTCCCGTATACCTTTTGATCGAACGTCAAAGTTAGTTGCAGGAAATTCAACTCGAGAAACATTCGTGCATTAAAAACATTTTACATGTTCATAATTTTTTGTTCCTAAGATATAGAAAAAACCGAGTTGTTAGTCTTAGAGTGCAGGGTTGTGTTGGCCAATTATCGATTGCTATCATTCGATAAGCGCAACTCTGTATAAACGCGAAACACGTTTTTCTTTTTCGTCGTAGCTCATATGCAAACAGATTGAAAATTGCAGAGAAGATTTATCTTAGTCCCAATACTAAATAGGAAGTCGAAATAGGTATTCTCCTGAAATATTGATTTCACGCACTGGCATTTGGTGGCCTCTAAAGGAGGAATATGTATATAGTTTTGAAAGTGGAATTTTACGATCTTCAAGTATACAAGTTTGTACTCAGTATGGTGTTTTTACTATTCTAGATATACCACACAAGGCCTTAAGAGCTGTTTTTAAATGGAATTACGTAATCTTTGGACAAATTGTATGCATTAGTCACGCACACGCCCACAAAAACGTTGGTTCTCGCACGCATGATCGAATCTGCACGCGTGTGAAAGAGACGGCAATAGAGCTGTTGCTGTGGTACAGTGCTGCCACCCTTTTCGTATTTTTGTATACTATAGAGAGAAAAATGGTGAGTTTTCGGCTGAGTGATGGAATCCGCCCAGTTACTAACTTTTTTTGATTTAATTTCTTTTTGTATTTGAAGCCGCGAATAGTACCATTACAGTTATTGAAGTGCCTACGGGTGCTCCTAGACAACAATGGTGGCATTTTGAGCGCTCTGGAAGTGAAGCGCATAGCAGGGTAAGTTGAGAGCGCGTCGAAGTCGAAGCGCCCTCTAGCGTCAATCTAATAAATTATGTTTCCCAATTTTCGCAGACTCATGCAGAAATATTCAAAGAAGTTGGTTTCCAAGTGCGTTTATGTACAAATTTTGAAGTCGACTAAGACGGAGCTTCTGGGGGATTTCATGGCCTCGAACGGATGGACTTTGGTTTACAATTGGCTGAATGACTCCATCCGAGCTATGAACTGGCCCCTGGTGCAGGAGATCCTAGAATTACTGCTGCTTTCCCCAGTAGATGTGAATAGATTGAAGATAAATTCAGCACCCATTTTGGTCAAGGCTCTGTGCAAGGATGGCGGCAACGAAGGTAAGTAAAGAGTCTATTGATCCCCGTCTCGATATACCTGTGCTCTGCTCGTACCTGGAAGGGATTACTTATTACTGTTTCGGTCAACTTTCCAGGTGTTCGCATTCTAGCCAAGCGGCTAGTCGAACAATGGCTGAAGATTGTGACTGAGAACACGAGTGGTGCACCTGCAGCGGCGGTGCCTGCCATTCCGCCCCAGATTGGGGTTACAGCGGCCACAGTGACGGATCCGGCCACTGGTGGTACGGTGGACTCTGCCTCGTCGTCGGACAGCACGGATAGTGCGGGAACGCCGGTGACCATGAACTACACCATTGCCTCGGCCCAAAATAGCAACAACCACAACAGCATAACCATAAAATGGAAGTCAGTCGAGCATTTGGACACAGATGATATGAATAATGTTGACGATGATGGTTCCACGCAGCCATCTGAGGCTGGTGTTAAGAGCAGCAAAAGTCCTGAGACAAGTGCCAGTCTCCAGAATTCGAAAAAATCAAGTTTAGATGATAGTTGTTCAGCAGAGGTTAAATCCGGGGAGGAGGTTGATAATAAGAAGCATAAGAGCGCCCGAGACAAGAGTAAACGGTCTGAGAAAGATCGTGAGAAGGATAGAAAGTCTTCGTCCAGTCACAGGTCGTCCTCATCTAGCCATAAGTCGTCGTCGTCCTCATCATCGAAGAGCTCGTCAAAGAGCTCGTCGTCCTCTTCGTCCCATCGCAGTTCGAGTTCCAGCGACAAACACCGTGACAAGGACAAGTCTCGCTCTAGCTCTGGTTCTAGCTCCAGTAAAGATAAGGAGCGTAGTAGTTCATCCTCGTCGTCCTCTTCGAATAAGCACAAGTCAAAGTCCTCTTCATCGTCGTCGTCGTCGAGTTCCTCCTCCTCGAGCTCGAGCTCGTCCAAAGATCGTAACCGCGATAAGGAGAAGGATAAGTCCTCGTCGACGGCAACGAAGCAAGAGAAAGACAACAAGCTGATGCCTCCACCAGCGCCAACTCTATCCCCGGCTCATTCACCGGCCACGGGTACTGTAGAAAAGAAGGAAAAGGCTGAGAGCGAGACTCAAAAGCCCAGATCGATACCTATCATGTCCCGAAAGGCATCGATATCCATAGAAATCAGACGCGACACTGACAAGGCGGCCACTGTTAAGACGTATCAGTCCAAATTCAGATCGCACGGACTTACAGAAGAGGCGCCGCCTCCTCCCTCTCGAAAGGGACTGAAGAAGCCCACATCCATCGTCCCGACACCATCAGCCCTGCTGTCGTCCACTGTAAAGAGGCCCTCGCCACCGCCCCGAGACTCGCCGACGGAGAAGAAGCCCAAGATCGACATGAGCAATGTAACCGGCCACGTGGAGCGACCAGGAGCGGCCAAGCTGATCGCTCCCAAAAAGAGTAAGCATCTCCTATTCCAAACTTCCTTACTAATCCCCTTTTCTCTCAGCGTTTATTCACAGGTCGTCGTATATTGGTGGTTTTTGCTACATTTTTTTTTTTGTCGATTCAGTTATCAGAAAACCGTGTTTTCTGTATTATTTGTTGATCTATTCCCGATTGAAGGTGTTTAATTCTAGCTGGGGGGCAGTTTCACGACAATTGGACTAAATTCAGGCTTCTCAAACAGAAGATACAAAAAACCAGAAAATATGGGGGCCGTGCATTTCAATTACACAATCAATCGGCTATCTACTCGATTCCTTTGGAGTCATGGCTTGTGGCTAAGCAACTGATATCCAGTTTTGGAATGATATGAATATTAGAAGAAAGTGTATGTTGGATGTGCGGATTTGCGGATGATTGCCCTGTCCGGACGACAGCGACGGTGTCGCTTCTGCGGTGTCACTGCGCATGCGCATCAGTACAAGACGAAGACTGGGCCTGGTGCCAAGTGTCTGCCTGGTGTTAAGTATATAAATCTCTTTAAACGTACTCGTTACTGCTTTAGGTTAAGCTTTTAAGGTATGTAGATTCACTTGCCAGCCCACATACAAATAAAAACGATTTTCCATTAGAAAAATTTACTTTTTCTATTGAATAAAAAATGCATTGAACGAAAATAAAACCCAAGACAATGTTAACTTGAGCTGGCGGTTCTTGTTTTGGTTTTGGTACCCACGGTAGAGAAGCGCACACTCGTCAGATCGATCAGCAGACTGCCACCAAGCTGTTTGTCGTGGGGTCTGATCTTCAAGATCATCAGCATTTGGTGCGAGTGTGTGTGTGTCGGGTGTGATTCCCATCTCCCTGGTGCTACCAATATCTGAGAACTGAGAAGACGCTTGCCAGTGTTCCACCCACACCCCGATCACTGTAGTGCGTCACCTGCGCAGGGGCTTCGGCCTTGGCTTTATCTCTATTTCCTCTGTCGATTCGACGGATAAGGAGCCAGCCTGCCTGAATGCCTGCTCACACATTCACACAACCACAAGCAGTGTACCGATGCGTTATTCCAGACCCGACGTCTGTGATCATTTTATATAATACTTTATTGAGTAGGGTATCCATAGCGTCCATAGGGTTATATTAAAAGAGCAAACAGGGGGAAAAGCAAAAGCCACCAATTGTACAGATCTGTATAAATAATCATAATATAATATATCTCATTAAAAAATCCCTTCTATGATTTCTTACTTACGATCTGTTTCGACTTTTTGCTTACAGTTTGTACGTTGGTGGAGACGAATCTCTTCTCGGATGCCCTGGCAGCATCCATCGAACCCAAAAAGGTGGTAAAGCGCAAGCGGACACAGTCGGCCAACTCGCCTACGGACAAGGATGCGCCATTGGCTCCGCTGAAGTTCTACCAGGACACCCTGGACGAGTCGAAGGGAGACGAAAAGTCGGACGACAGCACCAAGGAGAACGATGAGTGTCGCTCAAGTTCACCCAATGGGTCCGTTGATGCGGATGACGATGATATACCATTGAAGCGGGTTAAAGAGGACATTGAGCAGAAGGTGCAGAAGGAGAAGGCGGGCGGTGAGAGCGTCGACGCTGGTGAGGCCGGCTCTGATGGCGCCGAAGACGTGCCCGAGGAGCCTAAAAAGCCGGGACCAGGATGCGGACCTGATGGCCCACCCGGCGTTCTGATGCTGCATCGTCGCAAGGGCCCCAAAAAGAAGCTAACTTGGCAGCCGGAGGACAAGCTCACCCAAATCCGCTTCTTCGAGGTGGATCTATCCGAGCGAGTTAACGTTACCAAGCAGACGTTCACCGAAATGAAGAACCTGGAGCGGTACAGCGAGCGCGACGCCTTGAACATTTCCCGGCGAGGCTTCGATGACTCTATGCAGCCGCAAATGGAGTGGCGCCCCCTCATTGAGGTGGACAACGTGCCGGATCACCCCAACGGCAACCTATCCAAACAGCGCCAGGTTCAGGCCGAACGCGAGGCGACAACGTTACGAGCGCTCTACTTCTCAACGGACATGATTCCGGACAGCGCCGCCGAGGCAGAGCTGGAACCCCACTTTGCCCACGACATTCCGGTCATCCCAATGGATGACCTCACCGGTAACCACGATGCTGTCAACGACTACAGCGACCTCACGTGGCCCGAGCCCAAAGGCTATGCTCCCAGTGGCATCGGAGGCGTCGGAGGCAACTCCGGCGGCCCTGACATTTCCTACAATGACGGTGGCATGAACAACATGATGGGCCCGGGTCATGGAGGACCCCCCAACATGATGACCAACAATCCCTTTCAGCCGTTCGCCAACAACTTTATGCCCAACGGAGTAAATCTTCCTCCCAACCAGCAGATGCCGATGCAAGGACCCGTTCCTGGACCAGTTCCCGGACCAATTGGCGCTCCAATCTGGCAGAACCAAATGGGACCGGTCGGCATGGATATTAACAATATGGGAGGAATGCCGCCCCAAAACTATATGGGAAATCAGTTTGGCAGTCCCGGAGGTCCTCCCTATGCATCTGGCCCCCCTCAACCATTCAACCAAGGATTCAATCCGATGATGATGAACGGACCCGGACCAGGACTAGGACCTGGACTAGGACCTGGACTGGGACCTGGAATCGGACCTGGAATCGGACCTGGCCCCGGCCCAGGCATGCTACCCAATGGACCCATGATGCACAACAGTCCCAATGGTCCAATGGGACCCAACGGACCTATGATGAACAACAGTCCAAATGGTCCAATGGGACCCGGGCCTGGACTGGGCCCGATGCCCAATGGTGGCGGACCACGGAATAACAACAATAATCGAAATAAGAACAATGGAGGCGGCGGTAACTGGCGCAGTGGCGGCAATAACTTCCAGGAGAACTCCGGTGGCAATTGGCGCACAGCGGGATCTGGCTCCAATAGAGGCGGCAACACGGGCATCTGCAAGCAGTTCATGCGGGGTCACTGCAAAATGGGCAAGTCTTGCAAGTACGTGCATCCGCAAAATAAGCGCATGTAGAATTTGCCCGAATCTTCCCAGGAAGATTCAGTTGTATAGATCTCAGACGCAGACGCACACGCACACGGAAACACATATTTACACATAATCTGCGTTATTTTCCACAATAGAGGCTGGCCATGTCCCCCATTAGCCGTTAGCCGTTCACTGAAGCCACTGAAGACTGTAGCCAGGTCAGGCCTCCTGCCTGTACCTGCCCGCCCCTTAGTTATTATAGCTCTGTATATATGTATGTATCTGGTATATGTCAGTAGATGTAGGTCATATCCTTAAGTTATTTAATCATTACTTGTATAGTCCAGAAGACAAGTTTAGGTAGTGGACAAGATATTGTTACTTTGTACTTATCGAGAGATCGATCGCTTTGAATTTTGTACGCCCCAATTTTACGAATCCCCTTACTATTGTAGCTTTAAGAGCCTATGTCTACATTATTAAAGACCAAGTCATATGATGAATTTAAACTTCTCCCACTTCTGGTGTCTGCTCTGTCCATCCGCCAAACAAATCGATTTCCGCCCCGTCCCACCTAGGGGTTGCACTTAACCTGAAACTTGTGCGGCTTCCTCGCGGCACCCGCGACCCACAATTCTGTTATTCATTCTGTTTCAGTTTAAGCTATTTCATCAGCGCGTTCAGTCCAGTCTAGTCCTCCACTATTCGCTATGAAGCTCATCCATGTGGCACTCTACTGCTATGGCTTACTGGCCACCGTCAGTGGACTCAGCTTTACGGTCACCTCAAGGATCTTCATGGACGTGAAACATAATAAGCAGCCCATAGGGCGGATCACCTTCGGCCTGTTTGGAAAGCTGGCCCCCAAGACGGTGGCCAACTTCCGGCATATTTGCCTGCGCGGAATCAACGGTACCAGCTACGTGGGTGCCCGCTTCCACCGGGTGGTGGATCGATTTCTGGTTCAAGGCGGAGACATCCTACACGGCGACGGTACCGGCTCCATTAGCATCTACGGCGACTACTTTGAGGATGAGGACAAGGCCCTGGCAGTTGAGCATAACCGTCCCGGGTATCTGGGCATGGCGAACCGGGGACCAGATACCAACGGATGCCAGTTTTATGTAACGACAGTTGGTGCCAAGTGGCTGGACGGTAAACACACGGTCTTCGGAAAGGTTCTCGAGGGCATGGACACAATCTATGCCATAGAAGATGTGAGTAACCCCTGAATCTGATCCTCTATTTTCTCTGAATAATACATTTTTCGTTTCCTATCAGGTAAAAACAGACACGGATGACTTTCCCGTGCAGCCGGTCGTCATCTCCAACTGCGGTGAGATTCCCACCGAGCAGTTCGAGTTCTATCCAGACGACTATAACATACTCGGGTGGATCAAAGCGGCGGGTCTGCCCGTGACAAGCTCCTTTCTCGTGTTACTCATCTTTCACTATTTCTTTCGACAGCTGAACATGTACTGTTGAACCCCACCTCCCAAAACGAAGGAAGAGCTTTATTAATGCACATAAACACAATATATAAACCGTAATATTCAACGCTAACACCCACAATGAATAGAAATAAGTCAAGTGGCGATATAGCCTTTCAGCAGGATAGGAAGGGTAGGACCCATGTGAAGCTATAGGGAAGGATATAGGATATAGAAAAGAAGCTTGCTTGTGAAACGTTTACTCACGTCTATGTATATGTAGTCCTCGACCAATTGATTCTTTTGGTAGTAACGCGACTCTGGCTTGAAGTAGCCAACGACTCGGACATCGACCCCGGAGTAGTTCATCTGACTGTCTGAGTATACTTTGGCAAGGGTAAAGTGATGCTTGTGGTCGGGATAGATCGAGAGATTGAGACTGTTGTAGTATTCCTCCATTAAGTGCCGGTCTTTGCCTAACAGTGACCGCTGATGTTTCAGCAGTTGGTCCAGATCGAAGGAGTGGGCGTGCTTCAGATTGGGATCCTGGGCATCCATCAGGCGCTCCAGCATGTTTCGATATTTCTTCTTGAAGTACTCCAGAGCCGTGCACTTTTCGGACCAGAACGAGAATTTCTTATCAGCGCTAATGAGAATCGAGACGCGTAGATAAGATAGAATATATGGTGATTTACATTTCGCCTTCAACTTTTGATACTCACTGCAGTTCGGGGCTAATGCTAAAGTCGACAAAGAGACCGGGTATCCGGACAGCCGTGCGGGCGGCGGCTATCAGCTTCCCGGGGCCGAAGAAGTGCAGCTGCAGTTCGAAGCGGCGCAAGGTGTTGCGATTGAGATGACCAAGGTCCAGGATGTGGCCCTGCTGCTCGCAGGGAATGGGTTGGACGGTGAAGTGCTTGACATTCGGCGGCAGCTTGTAGCTGGCCGCCTTGTGGAGTTTTTGCTGGCTCTGGTAGACCTCTTGGTGCTTGGCATACAACTCGGAGCTGTCGCGGAGGCGGTTGCGATATCGCTCGCCGAGAAGCATCTGCTTGAGAATGGTAGCGTGGGGCAGCTCCTGGTTGTTGTTGACCAGCACGTAGCTCCGGACCATTTTGAACAGCTGGGTGTCGTGATAGCGCTGTCGCGCACTGGACATATCCTCTTCGCTCTCCGAGAGCTGACTGAAATCTTCGGATATGACATCCTCCTGTATGCCTTCCTCCTCGCCATCGGCTGCGGTCAGCTCCCCATCCGTCTCGGTGATGCTCTTGAACATCTCATAGTAGTATATGCGCTGCAACAGGCGATATTCCTCCAGGATAGCAAGCTGCTCCTGGGGGACCCCTTTCAGCTTCGAGTCCGTCTCCAAAATGGGCATCACCCCTTGGCCCCTCAGACAAAAGTGGTTCGAGGCACTGGCGTTGATCACCACCCCGAAAGTGTGGCAGAAGCTCTCGCTGAAGCCGAGGACACCTTTGACCCGAATCTGGTCGCTGGCCAGAGGTTCCAAGTGAATGTAATCGCTGCTGACTAGCTTGCAGTAGCCCTCGATGAAACGCTTCTCCTGTGATCTCTCCGGCGGAATCTCCAGGACCACCAGTTGTAGATGGTATTTGGTCACGTTCGTGACGCGCACTACGGCATTGAAACTCTCGTACCACGGCTGAAGGGGAGACAAGATGAGATAAAGGAGGGCGAGTGGAGTGTCCTGTGCCTGTTCATGTGCCTACCTTAGTCCCTAGGTAAACGCTCTCCTTGTGGAACTTGATCTTCTGTGCGAGATTGACCAAAGTGACCGACAAGTACTGGCTGCGTCCGCCCACAACCGTGAGCTGGAAGAGGGCCCGCATTTCGTGTGAGCGCCGAATGTGGGGCAAGTGCAGCAGGCATTGGTGGTCCGGCTGGACGTCGGGCACCTCCACCTCGCCCTGCTTCTCGTGGAAGTAAATGAAGCGCTCGGCGAAACAGTACTCCGAGGAGGCGGGAGAAAGCTGGTCACTGGAATCGACGTGGAGTCTGTTGAGCAGGTCGTAGATGGTGTCACGCACGAAGCTCGAGGTGCTGTTCTGCTCCATTGCGGTGTCTTCTCCAGACTGTTCCTCCTTTGGGTATACAAGGGGTCGGTGGCTGAGATCCAGGTCGTTGACGATCTCATCGAGTATCTCCAGGATGAGGTCGCCCGTCTCCGAGTGGTGGCTGAATTGGCAGCGGCACTGCTGGTAGCGGAGGGTCATGTTGGGCTCGTCCTCGCAGCTGAAGTTGTACTCGAGCATGCGCAGGATTTCCGAGAGGAAGTCGGCGACCATGCCCTCCGGATCATCAATGTCTCCCACGAACTGCTCGGACGTCTCCAGGCGCTTCCACTTGAATTCGGCCCGCAGGCAGCCCTGATTGATGAGACTTACGTTGCTGTCGAATGGTATGCCACGGTCGAAGAGCACCACCTCGGGCTGGAGGATGAGTACGTCAGGCGCCTGGACAGAGACCTTCAGGGAGAGCGCGTTCAATTGTCGCCCCAGGGCCCAGACGCTGATGCGACCCTCCATCTGCTTGCAGAACAACTGCTTCATGGCCGCCCTGTTAAGGATGACAAATATCTCCTTGTGCTGCAGCGCCTCGATGGGCATGAGGATCTCCTTTTCGAATGAGTCCTCGTAGAGCTCCTTGATTCGAAAGGGCCCTGTGGCCTGGAGCCTAACCTCGGCAATGGGAACCGAATGCTGGTTGATCAGAATAGGGGTCTGTACGTTTGAGCGCTCCCTCAGCGGCTCACAGCTATGGTATTGGAAGAGCATCTGCTTGCGGTTCCAGATCAGCTGGCAGTCGGTGAATGTGGCCTTGGCCGTGACCTTGATGGTGTATTTGCGCTGCGGATATTTTTGGTCGGTGACCTGGAGCAGAAAGTCGCTGAAAACCACGCCCTCCTGGCAGGAGCTAGTCATTATCTCAAGGGTTTCCACGCATTCCGGGGGTAGGTAGAGATGCTTGGGCATTATATCAAAACGGGCCGTCAGTGGCTGAGAGGAGCAGGACGAGAATCGTCCATTTTTCTGGGCGTAGGTCTTCAGGCGGGTGATGGTGACGCGGTAGGAGCGGAGGCCCTTATTGATCACCTTCACAGGGAAGCGGTGGTTGTAGATTTTGTCGTGGAACTCTTCCTTGGTGTCGGTGTAGAGCAGCCCAGCATCGAAGCCCTCTCTTATGTTGGGCTCAAAGTACAGCGGCACTCCCTCTACCAGGAACGTGATGGGTATCTCCATCACGTGGTCAAACTGCAAGTCCACATAAAGGATGTTCTGGTAGAGGTCTGGATCGGGGAATATCGCCACCAACGTGGTGTACATGCTCTGTCCAGTCGAGGCCAGTACTCCGCCCCTTGTTGTCAGATATTGACCGGTGGTGTCCTTCTATAGAAAGAGCATACAAAAGTGATAGCTAAGAACAGAATAACTGACATTTTCCTTACCAAATTCATTGTTAGCTTAGTGTTGGTGGGCGTGTAGTTGTCTATGTAGAAGTGGACCTTGTGAAGCTCATAGGTCTGCAGGCGATGGTGCACATAGGTGGGCGAGATGCGTATCTCAGTGGGCAGGACGTTGGCGATCAGATGAAAGGGGTAGGGCCGAGGGGCGCCTACAATCTTGACCAGACCCGTAAGCCGGGTATTGCCCAGAGAGCGAAAGGTGACCGTGCATTTAGCGAAGATGCGAGAACCAGAGCCAATGTAAAACTTCCAGATTCCATCCCGAAAATTCATCTCGTTTGGCTATCGGAGGAGAAGTGGGTTAAACCAAATCGACACGCAGAATGGATGAATAGATGCTCACAATGACATCAAAGTGCAGAAAACCACCGGTGGTGGATCTGTTATAGAAGCTCATGTCAAACTCGTACTTCTCGCCCGCATAGACAGTCCTAGGCGAGAGGTCCACCATGTTGGTCCACTCAATCTCTGGGGTCACGCAGTTGTACTCGAACCATAGCTTGGAGCACAGAAAATCCGACTTGATGAGCGTCTTCACGCTTTGATGATCCTCACTGGAGCCCGAATTGGACAGAACTGAGGGGCAGATGCGGACGTTGAGGGCGCGATGGAAGTACCCCACCTGGTTGGGGATCAGCAGGATGGTGATGGTGCGTCCAGTGTTAGGCCGCAGGTAGATAATCTCGTTGTCGCAGTAGACCTCACGCGGGTCACTGGGTATCGCGTTCCAGTCCATGAAAATAAAGTTGTTGTGCTTGGTGAATATGGAGAAGTACTTGGTATTGATGAGTCCATGCAGCGCCTCCTGGATCACCCGCTTGTCAGTCTCCGTCTTGTCGAAAATCTTCTGCTTCTTCAGGTTCGTCAGCAGGTGACTGGCCAACATTGGAACGGGCTCTAAGGAAACAGATATCAAATTATCCGTGGATCAGTATCCATTAGAGATGGTATTACCCATCACTTCCTCCTCGAATTCCATGCTGTACAAGGACTCGTTTATGTGGAGGGACTTCATAGACAGCATATCCGGCGTGTTTGACGTCAGGTTGATGCTGTTGTACTCCAGAGAATCGTTGCGCATGTCCTCGTGGGCCCGTTGCAAGTGCTTGATGGGATCCCGCACAGTGATGGGCAGCATCTCCGTGGAGTCGCGAATGTTCAGCACCAACGGCTGCTCCTCCCCATCGTCGCTGGCCTTCACCTGCAGCGTAATAGGCACCGCCAGCGGATTCATGAGCAGCATATACCGCTTCTGAGGCACGGCCATGGGTATGCTGCCGAATTCTACGAGTTGTGGAAAGGTGCGCAGCTGGACATGCTGCCCAGTTCCTCTGGAAGCAGGATGGAGGAGTTGTTGGTAGGAGGTCGTGCTAACGGAAATTTTCTGATCACTCACTTGAGGTAGACCTTGTAGTGGGCTCCATTCACTACCTTAAAGCGCAGCGTGATCGTGAAACGGGCGGGATGGGTGGTGTAGAAGGACAGGTTAAAGGTGCCCCGGCAGCAGGGCTCCAGAGAAAATCCCTCCATGGGCGTCATGCGCACCCCGCCCATGTCCGGCTCGAGAGTGTCCTTGTAGGCCACCTTGGCGGGCACAGCTGGAAGTAACCAGAGGACATACATATGTAGATGAAGTGGTCGGCAAAGTCTTCAGACTCACCATCCACATTAAGGATCTTGATTTGGGAGCAGTGCTCCTCCCCTAGATAGATCTTGCGAAAGTCAATCAACTTGGGATACACCTCCACCTCGATGCCGTCAATCTCTCCGGAGACAACGAGGAAGTGCGACTCGATGCAATCTTCGGAATCGGTAAAGCAAAAGGTGAGGCGGGTGCGCTGGAAGTACGGTGGCTCCGCATCGTCTGGGAAGGGTTCCGTGGCGTCGTACAAGGGCCTAAAGCTCACGACGATTTCCGCCGACGACCAGGATGGAATCGAGTGCGGCGTAACGAACCCGAAGTGCTTGGCGGCTGAGATGCTGTATCTGACGTTCTGTATGTTGGGATTTTCCTCAAAGTCGAAGAGAAGGACGCTGCGCATGCTGACGGCCTCATCGATCAGTTTGTTCGAGAAATGGGAGTCAATGCTCTGCGACGCCGACTCTGCCAGATTCGGGTTTCCGTCGAAATTGCAGGACACCCTCACCTCGTGTGGCGACTCGTTGCACACGGTTATAGTGCGTTGCTCCTCGCGGGAGAACTTGGTCAGGCCGAAGGATACGCTACCTCCACTCAAATGAGCGCCCATCGACTTGGCCGTGAAGTCGAAAATGATAATTTTGGATGCACCTAGGAAGGGAGAAATTACTCGTATGAATGCTGCGACGGCGACAGATCTCTTGTCACGAATACCTACTCACACCGAACTTAATGTTGAAGAATCCCTTCAGCGATTGCAGCTTCTGGACGTGGAATACCAGGAGCACTTTGATATAGTCCTTTGGCGGCAGCAGATCCTTGTTCAGAGTGTTCAAAGTCAGTCCCCGATTCGTGCTACAATGGGAGTCAGCATTCAGATTGGATTCGGTGATGTGATTTGAACGACTAGTACATACTTTCTGAAGCGCATTCGGATGCGTTCTTTTGTGGGATTGTAGATGATCATCTCGTAATACGACTTGTTGTTAGGGACGCAGCGCGGCAGGGTTAAGAACTCGCATAATGAGGGTTCCTCTAGCTTGTACACCACTATAGAGGGGCATCGTACAGACTGGGGACTGATATCTGAGTGGGAGACATACCAATGATGGGCACTTGGAAGATGATGTTCGGGTGAAAGGACTCGACGTAAATGTGGCGCCTTCGGTTGATATCACGCGAGGTGGTGGCTCGGATCCAGATCTTCACCTCTAGCGTCTGGTCGGTTTCCAGGTAGCGATGCAGATCCAATTCGGGTATCGAGATGGATGTGTCCACGGGGCTGTCCGTGCTTACTTGGATCAGTCGGGGATACTGTATGGGTGTGGGTTGATCAGCGACGAAGATTGAGGACTCGAATATATGGGTGATAGCCTACCAGTCCATTGTTCCTGATGTTGAGCGTGAGGCCGTAGGTGGAGTTGACCTTGAAACGGCGATGGTGAATCATAATACGAGGCATGATGTGCAGCGAATCAATCAGGTTGGAGTACTCGCTATAGTCTGCGGGGTAACAGGGAGGTATATGGGGAATGTCTTCAAGATGGCCTTCAAGCTTACACTCTTTGGCTATGCAGCAGAAGTTCCCCTTTGATTTTGGCGTATTCCGCCTTGCACTAATTCGCAATTCCTCTGTCTCTGACTCGGTTCTGACTGGCACCTTGTCATCGTCAGTATCTACGCGTGGCGCTGGCGCGTCATTGGCCACATGGTGTACTTCAGTATCACTCATCGTCAAATATGTGCTATTTCGAATAAAATAAAATATAATATTTTAAATATATATTATAATTTGAGTTTAAATGCAAAGTGAAATTCAAATTTGCGCCACAATTTCACAACGATTTCCAGCAGTCTGGCAATGCCTTGGCGCATTGGTTTTCAAATGTTAATTGTCCAACACTGACAATTTTAGGTTTTCCAATGGTTCACGTCTCGGATCCTATGGCTGACCACTAGGTTAATGTCTCGGATGGATCCGTCTATATAATTTATGTCGGGGTCCGATACTCAATGCTAAAGTTCCTCGCAGCCGTGCGGCCAGCCGAGGCGGTGCCTCAAGCCGAGCAGCCAACCATATACATGTATGTATGTATCTCATTTTCCTAACATTATATTCTGTCTCATTTTCTTTCGCTTTGAATGTCCTTCCATCGCATGATACGGTCTGGTGCGAGGTGCGGTGAGGGTTTGCTGGCGGAAAACAATTTCAATTTGGCAATGACCAACGCAGCGTGAGACCCACAAAATGTCGAACGTGTTGCAGCCACATCTTCGACCTCAGCCCCAAAACCCAACCTCAGCTCTGGTTCCAATCCCATTCCCATCCTCAATCCCATCCTCATCTCCATCTCCATCTCCATCTCCGGGTTCCATCTAGACGGAGAGCAATCCCAACCGCAGAGCTGCCAATGCACAACAAAGTCCGGCTGCTTGCCTTATTTATTTGTTGGTCCGTTCGCTCCGTTGCTCTGCTTGCTCTCTATCCTACTGCATTTGGCAAAGGACATTTCGTCCTTTTGTGCAAAATTAATGATATGGGCCTGGGCCTGGGCCTGCCCCAGGATGCCTATGCTGTGCTGTGCTCTGACTGTTGTGCGGTTGGCCTCTCCTATTGCCATTTTTATTGTCAACGGGTCCGAACTTGAGATAAAAATTTGCCGGAAAAGCCAGGCGACCACAAAAAGCCGTACAAAGAAAATTGAAAGAAATGGTTGGCAACAGAAGGGTATCAAAGGACTAGGAGAAGAAAGAGGAGGAGGATTTGCATGTGTTCCCACTCTCATTTCCATTGTTTGCCTGTGGGCTGTGGGCGTGTCCTCGGACCTGTTATCGCCGGCAAAACGCTTATAAATCACGGCACTTCACATGCATCCTCGGACCTCCTCCACGGATGCGGACAGCGACACAGATAACGGCGCTGTCCGCCTGCCGCACATGTCCGCTGGGACGGTATGGAGCGGTTAGAGCGGGAGAAGGGTTGGCCCAAAATTGCAGCATCCTTCCATGGTTTGGCAGGGGGAAGGACTCAAAGACTCGGGCATGTTACATTGATGGAAAACAATTGCCAGTCAGTCCCAGACCCCCCACTCATCACATCACAGTTGAGTTGCTATTTTTATTGAGTACAAATTGGATGCCATAATGATGACAAAGAACAGCGCCCAGTCCCAGTTCCACTCCATTCCCTGTCCCAGTCTGTGCCATTCGCTAGATGACATTTTTATGACATCCAATCCGGAGTCTGCGACTGATTGCTCTTGCTCTCCTCTTGTGCGATGCGGTTGACCAGGGTCGAAGAGCAATGGGAGGGGACCTGGTGCTGCTGCTGCTGCCGCCCGTTGACCCCTCTCCAAAGGGAACCTCAAGGGTTCAAGCAGCGGTGGAGCAGCAAAGGGTTTTTATTTGTCCGGCTTATGTGCTCCTTACGACTGTAAAGTGGCAATTCTTTAACAATTTATGTTGCCAAACCAAAGTCGAGTGTGTGCCCGGCAGTGGGATTGGGTCGGGGACTGGGTCGGGGCGCGTGGGTTATACAAGGATGCTGCCTGCAACAGCTGACGCCGCTTTTCCCACTCCAATCCTCTCACCGCCAACGCCAAAGCCGTAGCCGTCGCTTTTTATTTTGTTGGTCCGTCGGCGGCTGTGAAATTTTCGTGAATTTATGAGCACTTGAGAGCAGGCGCCAACGCCAAAAGCAGCCCTATACGAATACTAGTGCCATTTCATCCCATCCTATCCGCATCTTCGAAGGGCGACTTTGTTGGCCTAATATAAATTTCAGCTCGAACAACAAGAAGCAGCTAGAGGCCGGCGGAGGAGCCAAAGCCCGGCAACATTTTAATGCGGCACGCGGTATTTTTTTGGTTTTTTCTCGCTTCACCCCTAAGTGGCAGCAAACGGGGCAATAAAACGGTCCTCCGAATGTTATGAAAGGATTGCGGGCAAGTGCGATCCCTCGTAAATCGTAGGCCGCCAGAAGGGTTAGGGAGGGAGTGAGGCGTGGCCGGAGTGTGGCGAAAGTGGCAGTCGCATAAAAATTAGTTTACGTGGCACATAATTCTGCATTAATTTCATTTGGAATGGCCCTCAAGAATGGACATGGCAGCAGCATGTGACCCAAAACCACTTCGAGAACTGAATGCGAATGCGACTGTAACTGTGGATGGCTTGCCAAAAACCACTTTGCCACATTTTAAAGTATCTGTCACATAAAGTGTGCACAGGAGACAGACCAGAGAGGAAGAAAGAAGGGACAGAAGGAACAGCCAGGGCTGAGAGCAAACAAAATGCAACAAAATATTTTGTTATGCTGCACACAGAAAAAACATTCAAGACAAAGAAAAACCAGAACGGAAGGAGCCGAAGAAAGGAACCGAAGTTTTGATACCCTTACTAGATCGATTGATCGAACGTTTCCTAAAGTTAATTGAATGCACTCTAAATTTACAATTCAGCGCTTATGTTTCATAATCCTTAAGCGATTATCATATTACCCTCTGGAAGAGTATAGCGCAAGGGTATAGGAGGCCGAGTGGAACGAGTCGGTGGAGGAGCAGCCACAGCAGCGTCCAAACAAGAGAAGAAACAAAAACAGAGACCAGAAGAAAAACAAATGCTTATAAAATGATAAGTTGCAGCTGGATGAGGACGTGAAGTCAAGTGAAATGTAGGAGCAACTGCAAGGACATGAGGAAAGGACAGGAAAGGACCTGCCATCGACGATGTGTTGCGGAAATATTTTGTGTGAAATTATTGCGGCGCTAAAGAAAGAAAAGACAAGACACAAGAACTAGTACTAGACATAGATAATACCCTCTGTCAAAGCTCCATGGAGTGGATATCATGGTTGAGCTCGTTTACACAGCCATTTGCATCACTTAGCATGGCAGTGCGGTGGCGTACACGTGATATTTGTTGCAAGTCCAACGCCAGCTAGCGGGCAACCGCAGCAGCAGCTAATTAGTGTGACAAATTGCTTAGTCCAGAGTCCAGAGGGACAGTGAGACCACAGCCAGAGCCAGGGCCAGGCCAGAGCTCTGATGGCCAGTTGGTTCGCTGTCAGACCAATGCCGAATGAAAACTCATTAAAAATTTACAATTGATTGACTGCCCAATGTCCGCAGTCATCCGTTCGTTTCGAACGTGAATTTTGACAGTCTCCGAGAGTAGACACAGGACACTGGACACTGGACCGACAGACCGAATGGACCATGCCCAGCTGACAAATGATGCACACACAAACGAATCGAGTGTCCATATGGCGACGATGACGATGGCCCCCTCGATGGCTCTGACTGATGCAATTTATGCTAATGCTCGTTAGTGAAATCAAACAGCAACAGAACAGAACAGAGCAACAATTGTGTAAACAACAGGGCCGTAAAGCAAACGCAAAACCAATGTTCGTGTACGTGTGCACAGGATGACGATGGGATGTATGGCTGGATGGGTACGGGTACGGTGCAGAGGGGCAGAGATGCAACTGCAACGGCAACTGCAGCGGCAACTGCATCTGTCGGTTGCACAAAATATTGACGCATATATTGGCAGTGACAATTAATCTGCTAATTGCCAATTTAAGCACGTAAACCAAACACAGGCGGTGGCATCGACATGGCCAGGGCGTGGCCATGCCACAAAGAGGGGGAGGGACAGCAGTGGTCATCCGATGGTACTCCTGACAGGGGTCTCCATTTATGGACGGACCCAAAGCCGACTCCTCGACTGCATCTGCAAGTGAATTTGATTTCCGTTTGATTTATGCGTGCATTACTCGAGTACTTTTGGGTAATTTGAGCTAATGAAAGTCAACAGAGGACATACGAGGCCCAGCACTCAGGATTGAGGATTGGGGGATAAAGGAAGGCTGCTATGGCACACCACTGGCCTGGCATATGAATAATCAAAGTTTAAAGCGAACTCATAAATAAATTAGTTGTGCTGTTGACACGACGACAAATTGATTTACATTCAGAGGTGGCGACATAGATAGAGACAGGCGCAGGGAAGGGGCACGGGAGTGGTGTGAAGTGCCAGTGACTCCGGGAAACCGGAATCCAGAATCCGGATGCAGCACAATAGAGATCTAATGAGCACGCACTGCCTTCCATCTTCCGCCTTCGAGTGGGGCACGAAATATATTTCATCTTTTCCATTGCGCAGAATTCTTGTAAAACTTTCATTCTGCTTAGCCTGGCCCTGAAAGGAGGGGCAAGCCCCGCATCCTTGTCAACCAAATGCGCTCCATTGTTGGCAGTCTCTAGGCTAAGGCTGTCCCTTACTGGAGACTGACGATTGTCGCAGCTCATTAAATCCAAGGCAAGACAGCAAAAGGCAAGCCACAAAAATCCCTTTTTGCTCTCAGACAAAGGGCTTCATTGTCCCCATTCCATATTCCATATTCCCCATTCTCCATTCCCCATCCATGTCCTACTGTCCATCTCTGCCACATTCAAAATGCCATTAAAAGCATACTAAAATTAATTTGTAGCAATTAGTTGCAAATTGCAAGAAAGCAGAGTTGGTCAGAGCAAAGCAAACACAAGCCAAAAGCGAAGGAAACCATGGATCCGAAAGGAGGACTTCTGTCTGGTCTGTCCAGAGCTCTGGCCGCAGAGAAATTGCTCAACATTTTTATGTGTTTTTGCTCATTTAGAGAGCTGTCTATGGCCATGCCGAGCAAAATCATAAAAACCCACTGCCAATTGCCCTCAGAGCCCGCACCGCACCGCACAGAACCGCC